CAATTTTTTTTTCTCTTTTTCTCAAAATTGAAAGTTTGATTGGGGGTATACTATGGATTACATGTGTAATGAGAGAAAGAGAGAGAGAAAAAAAAACTTAGACTTAATTATTGACATCTTTACTTTATTTTATTAAATATACAGAAAAGTAATGATTGGAAAAAAAAAAAAAAAAAACAAAAACAGGTGTTGTTAATATAAAAGTGTACGCAGGAAGTTCATTGTTCTAATGAAAAAAACGGAAGTTTTTAGTAATAGCAATAAAACTTCGAAACATTGTCACAAGATTTTCTTGTTTTACCTATATTTAGGTTCATGTAATTTAGGTATACCCTGTTTTTTGATATATGTGTTTACATCTTTTTTTTTTTCCTACATTTAGTTATATGTGCAGAACACCTTGCTAAGTAAATTCTGCACACGTTCTGTTTTGAATAATATAACCTAACCACATAAATTTATTTCTAAACATTATGAAACGAAGAAACCGCTCTTTATTTTTTCTCCTAGTTTTATTATTGTCACACAAGGTATCGTATAGAGATGACTTTTCTATCAGACTAATGAATTGTCATGAGGGAGAAAATATATATATACTAAATTGTACTAAGAAGCGAATTAGAAGAAACTAATAATCATGATGGGAGCAATTTTTTTCCCCGTTTCTCTCAGGTAAATAATGTATTAGCAGAGCCAGCAATTGAAATCCGACTAAGATGCAAAAATGAATATGTGAATGGTGAGAATTGTTATAAATTAGCTACAGGATATCACTATGTTGAAGAAGATAATATAGAACAGTGGTTACAGGAGACGAATGAAAGAAGAAGTAAAAAAAGTGTAGAATATAGGAATGGCGTACAGCAGCTAAAAATGAACTATGCGGGAATGAATACAAGAAGAACTAGCCGCATTTTGAAGGAATCAATTTACGCAGCGCAAAAATTTAGAGTCAACAAGGACACAGTGGAAAGACATGGGGAACATAAACATGATAGCAAACCTGATAACGGCAGGGCTGCAAATAGTTTGGTAATGTTAGATTATGATAAATCTAACAGTGGGCCTCCAGCTGGAACCCTTGATAATGTTATCGAATTTGTGAATGAAGATGGGAGAAATTCTCTTGAAGATTCCTCCAAAGGTGGCAATTCTCACAATATTGATCCTAAGAAAACGATCTCTAGTGGTGTTATGAATCATGCTTTTGTCCAAAACAATGTAAAGGGAATATGTATGGTTAAGAGAAAACGTGGGAAAATAGATTGGGACTGTTCAACAAAGGAGGATGTATGTATACCAGATAGGAGATATCAATTATGTATGAGGGAACTGACGAATTTGGTAAATAATACGGAGACAAATTTTGATCATGATATAACATTTCGGAAAATTTATATGGCAAGGAAATTTCTTTATGATGCAGAGAGGGAGGTCGATTTATTATTCAAAAAGAATGCAGAGGAATATGACGAGCACTTCTGTGAGGAGGTAAGATGGAGTTTTGCAGATTTTGGTGATGTAATTATGGGAACTGATATGGAAGGTACGGGAAATTCCATAGTGGTGGAACGGAATTTGCAGAGCATCTTTGGAACTGACGAGGAGGCCCAAGAGGATCGTAAGAAGTGGTGGAAAGAATATAAAGAATTAATTTGGAGAACAATGGTCAACTATATTAGAGACAAATTAAAGAATAAATTTACGTGGGTTTGTGAAATAGATGTTCGTGTATGGGATGAACCGCAGATATATAGATGGATTCGAGAATGGGGAAACGATTATATGTCAGAATTACGCACGGAACGACAAAAATTGGAAGAAAAATGTCATGGAAAAATCGATTCTACTGATAAACAACTATGTAATCGATCCACATGTGAGGAACCGTGTGAATTCTATGATAAATGGATAACCAGAAAGAAAAAACAGTGGGATGTTCTGTCAAAAAAATTCAAAAGTGTAAAGAAGGAACAAAACATCCAGATCGAAGATATTGTAACTCCATATGATATATTAAAACAGGAGTTAAAAGAATTTAACGAGGCAGATTTTGGGAGTGAACATAATCAACGTGATGAGGCATATATTAATTTATGCGGTTGTGGCCTTGAAAACGTTCCGGAAAATTCTCAGCATGGGGTAACAAATGCTTCTGAATCTGAGGGACAGAATTCGAATAAAATAATTCAGTCCGTGAATAGTAGTAAGTCGGAGAATGTTGAAGGGGGTTCTGCGCCTGAAAATGTTAACAGTGACACAGATAATTCTAGCACAGGTGACACTGTTACGGAGAACAGACAAAGGGAAAATCAAACAGCTGACAGTGAACAAGGTAAGGATACAAGCCCACTAAGTGAAAATGGAAGTGTAGATATAACTAGTAATCATGCAACTAGCAGTTTAGAAAATAACAATGAGGGAAGCGAAAAGGATTTGCAAAAGCATGATTTTGAACATAATGGTGTGCCGCATGAAAAGACGAATTCTGCGGGAACTACAGATGCAGGAGGACAGCAGGGGGATAGTATCAAAAATGATGAATCAGAAAGTACGACGCATCTGAATAATGGTAAATTAAATATAGCAGAATATGAAAACAGGGATGTCAATGCAACAAGGGAGGAAATTATACTTATATCTGAAGTACGCAAGTGCAATAATATTATTTCTTTGGAGTACTGTAACTCTATACAACACAACATATCATCGAACACTTGTTCTAGAGATCAGAGTAAACATTTATGTTGTTCAATATCGGATTTCTGCTTGAACTATTTTGAGCATAATTCTTATGAGTATCATAAGTGCATGAAAAACGAATTTGAAGATCCATCGTACAAATGCTTTGCAAAAGGGAGCTTCACAGGTATGCACCGAAAAATGATAAATGGAGAAAGATGTTATGTAAATTAAAAGGAAATCCCTTTTAGTAATCTTATAATAATCTTTGTAACCAATGTTGTTTTTGCAGATAAAGCTTATTTTTTCGCGGGGGCAGGGCTCCTGATGCTACTGTTGCTAGGTGCTACATGGAATATGATGAAGAACGAGTAAGAAGAAAGTAGAAAAGAAATTAGAATAAAAATTAGAGTAAAAGCTAAAAGAAAAATTAGAACAGAAACTAAAGTAACAATTAGAATAAAAAATAAAATAAGAATTAGAGGAAGAAATAAAATGCGAAATGCTGTTAAGGCACGATTAAATTTGAGTGTTCCATTTGTGAAGTTTTAAAGAGAGTAGAGCTGCATACACATTGTGTCCGTGCATACATACACATATAAATACATGTACGTATATATAATAAATGCCCACTTACCTGTTTGTACAGTTCCGAAGAAGCTACATTTAATGAGTTTGAAGAATACTGTGATAATATTCAAAGAAACCCCCTGATGGCTAACAGTAATTCTAATTTCAAAAGCAAATTTTCTTTTAAAAAAAAATATTACATCATTTTGCTTTATTCTTTTTATTTGTTTTTTAGATGATGGACACATGCAACCGTGCTATCCGCTGTATTATTCATAATACTACTTTGGTAAAGAAGAGTAATTCCGATTGCAGTTCTGATGCAATTTTAGTCATTCTGCTGGACACAATAGATGAGAAGATATAACAAGCTTATTCCTGAATGATTTACAAACACTATGATAATTATCTGAATTGTAGAAGTTTAAATAAAATCCTAAATCAGAATTAATTCTTCATATTTGCAACAAGTGCATAGAGGTGCATTTCCTTTTATTGGCTTGTAGGAAATAGTCCTTTTGCCAATGGAGAAGAAATTCCTTTAAGTGAAATTTTCAATTTTTTTGTTCTTCACGTTTCTATTTTTTTTTTATGTTAACCTAAAAAATACGATTTTACTAATTTGAATAATACGTATTGAAGGATAAACGAAATAAAAATGGATCATAATATAGTTGGCGTGGAAATAATCTTAGTATTGCTTGTGATAAAGGACATTGCCGTGAAAAATAAATTATCATACTGAAGAAAAATCTCATTTTGAATTGCCTGTTAAATGGAGTATAATTACATTTTGGTATGTGTATTTTGAAATTCTTCCAGAATTGGGGTCTGGTGTCAATTCTTATCAGCTTTCTTACACCTTCTTGATTGTATACATATGTAATATCGGTACGTGCATAGGTCATATGTTAATGAAGATTCCTTGATGATGTTTAATAAAGAAATTATAGGCAGACAGTCGTCTTTAATTTACATACAAGGGTATCCGGTATTTGTGAAGGCAATAAGAGCACAGTAATAATGTAATAGGAAAGAGAAAATTTCATTATCATATTTTTTTTTCTTACTTTCACGTTCATTGGTGTGTAGGAGGTATACTTTATAAATGTTATGTTACTACATTTAAGTCATAAGGGGTGGCAAACGTCTTGAAAGACATACAGCATAATGATGGTCCGGAAAAAAAAAAAAACTCTTAAAAATATTAAGAAACATACGAAATAATTATTGGAAAAGAGGTTTCGCAGTTTGTATCTGCGTTGTTTGGATCAGCACATTACAGCAGGAAGTGGAATTTTATCGTAAAAATGAAAATTGTAAAAAGTCATAACCAACTTTTAGATGCACACTTAAAGGAATGGGAAGAATAAACGGATAAACAAGGATGGTTATTTAATTTAATTACCTCCCCTCGACTTCTATTTCCGTAAAATTCATTCTTGTGATGACTTTAGTTTCAAAAAGTTATATTTATAGTAAGATGGAAATCTGCCAAGTTTTTGGGTCTGCAGGAATCTAAAGAGAATTACTAATTATATATGAGAATCTATAAATATGGAAATTATTTTTTTTCTTTTTCGCGTTTTAAGAAAATTAATATTTTTCTTTACCATAAAAATAGTAGAGGTTATTTTCTTTTTTCTTTAATCATATTAATGTATATCCTTTTTACATTCGTGTATATTATTTTCATGTACTATGTCGAACGATTATCACATTACTACTTCCACCATTTTTGCTTTTAAATGTTGTCCTTGCTTATATTTGTAAAACCATATACATTAATATGGAAGATATCTGAAGTTATTCAAATTATCGTCTCATGGGCTTGTCCTAAATCTGACGTTTGTTAAATAATTAAATACAACCTTTTCGAATAATTAGAACGGATAGTTATTGACGCCTAAATTGAATGAGGGAAAAGAAACATGTATAGTAGTAATACACAGGGTATAATTTTACATTGCTTTTTAATATTTCATATATCTTTAGAAATAAGAAAAAATAACTATTTCCATATTTCATGGGAGTAAACGATTTAAATTAATTATTAATGTTTTCTATGCTAAGATACGGAAGGAGGTATATTTCCTTATATATTAATGAGGAAAGTGCAAAATAACCTTACAAAGAGGGCTGTGTCCTGGTAAAAATATTGCCAATACAATTCAAAGTATTAATTTTTCTATTGAGAATTATGATTTTTAATGTATATCGAATTATCAATTTTTAGATTAAAGAAAAAAAAAACTGCCTCATAAACTAAATAAGATTTGAATAAATCCTTGCGCGGCAAGAAATAACAGAGAAAAGAAGATTTAAAGGAACAGTTTGTTTGTATAATAAATATTTTTATTATTATTCAAAATGTACTAAATAAGAGTATTTTTTTTAAGAGGAGGAGGAAATATTTTCTCCAAGGAGATATAAATTATGCGTAATATTCTGTAATTAATTATACGTCCTTATAAATATAGCTTATCTTTAGCACACATCTTGTATAATGAGAAGAAGAATATATCGTATGTTTTATTTTTTCCTGTACTGTCAGATATGTGAAAAAAGCAAAGGAAGATACCCTAAAATATGAATTTAAATGTAAGTACGTATAATAAATAAATAGGCAGAAGCAATGCTGAGTGTAATATCAGAGTTTTATTGTATACGCTTATATTCGCGGTTCCTTTCTTATAATAACGCCGCGGAAGGAAAGGAGAGGAAAACAAAATGCGAAAGAGTAAAAATAGAATGAAATCCTAAATATGGCAATTTCGTGTCCCCTTTTATTAAGATAGGAATTTTTCTTAGAGCCATCATTTTACTTGAATCCATTTAAAATTCAGTTATAAAGACTTTGACATATATTGATGCATTTTATTAAGACGGCGTACCTTATTTTTATCTATTTAACCCAGCCTCGGAAGTAATTAAATTTTAAATAATGTTTGCTACGAAACAGTAGTAAGTGTTGTTCGATCTAGTGCCCCTTTAAATTGAAGTAGCATTACTTTATCATTTTTATGTTAGAGTATTAAATCAAAGAAACAGAATGGGATACCCCAATTTTTCTGTTAATCCCTTGTTTATATTAAAAGGAGGCAGCTGAAACCTCGGAACAATAAAAAAAAAGAGAAAAAAGCCTCACAAAATAATAGACATTATTTTTATCCGTATCAGATTACAGATTATGTAAGAATATTCTATTTTTATTTTGTTGTATAAGAAGTTATTTTATGCGTTAACCTAATATAAAAAATTCCAGGAATTTCAATAGCAGTTTTTTTTCTATGATTCTTTACTACATGTGTGGTATTGTTAAATATAGAAATAGTCCTTTCCATATGTAATTACAGCAGTCAGTAGTATTGTGTCCCCCATTTTATTGAACAAAATACAGTCTCCGTATCTTCCTGGAATTTAATCATCTATAGAATGTTCTACAAAATAATTTTGAAGTCAGTTTTTCCCAATTCCTATCCATTATGGTAATAACAGATTGGATCATTTGACACCCTATAGGACAGGTTACTACATAGATATATATGTGTACATATATCTGTCAACACTGATTTAGGAAGTGCATATGTGTAATTGAAAGGAGGATACCAAAGAAAGATTCGAACTATCCTTTCTTTCATTGTCTCCTATTGGCATCCTTTTATAATATAATAGTTGAGGCATTAACCAGTTCGATGTCTCTCCCAAGGCTACACTTAAAGAAAATTGTTCTCAGACATTATCGGATAGGAACTTATCTGAGGACGTTGTAGACATATTTAACATAATATGTTCTAGCAATTATGATGAGCATGACATTGAGAAATTACGGAATATCAACTATGCAACTAGATTGAGTGAGCAGTAGAAAGAACTGTGAGACCATCAAAATATAGATTGGCAAACAATTACAGGGGAGACATAAGAATTGCTCGTTGAAAAGAATAGGGAAGCCACCCCTAATACGGGGACTAATCACAAATGATGGGGTAATATTGTAGAGGAATTGTATTACTTCGGGAAGCCTAGTAATTAGGGACATCGAGTAGAAGTGGGAATTTTTTTAGATGCAGTAAAGGACAAGACACAAGGAAGATATATTGAGGATTCAAGATTAGAAGAGGAGGAGACATGGACCCATATAAAGCGTGGCAGGAGCTATAGAGGATAATGAAGGGGAAACTTCTCAGTTACATACCTGGAAATATTACAAACAGGCAGTGAATTCGGAATCCGTTAGAAATAATAGTGAATAAACATTATGGTAAGTTAAAAAAACAAATGTACAAAAATGTTAAATTGCTATAGGAACTTTTCTCTTCCAAATTGACAACTGTGTGCATGACAATTATACAGCAAAATGTGGTCCCAAATTGATGATGAAAGATTTGGATAAAGAATAAGAGCACAATATGCAATTAATGTACCTCATCATAAGAACGTTTTTTTTGTTTAGACCTGCCTAAGAATTTGAAGATGCAGAATAATACCTCTTTTTTTTTTTTCTTTTATTTTTCCATTCCTTATTGTGTTGTTTTTCTTTTTCTTTGTTAAGAGGATTCTACAATAAGCAATAGGGAATTATTATTCTGTAATGTGCAGGTAACTGTCCCATCAGTGCCTGTTCTCATAGAAATATACGCATTTTTATACGAATTCTATATTCGAGGCTCTTTTTATCTAACTTACGGGCGATTCTATTGACAAATTTATCCTTTTTTTTAATACATTCATCTTTTTATTAAACCATGGGCTTCAAAAGTGTGGAAAAAACAAATAAAAAAAAAGGGAAATATCTGATCATTTAATATAAAGTTAAAGATAAATATAATGATGTGCATATTTCAAACACACGCCTTTTATTTTGTCGTTCTTTCATTTTGTTTGAGGAGCCATAGCTAATTCTATCTGTCTATAGTGCCGGGCTTAACCTAGACACTCACTGTTACAGTATATATATGTATTTATAGGGGCATCAAACATGGGTAATAATATCAAATGACAGGACAAATTAATTCCTGCATTATGATTCTAATGTTTTTCAGAATAGTCAGAAGAGTAGTACAGTTTAAGAATAACAACGAAAATATAAGGAAATAAAAAGTCGTGTAAAAATGTCTAAGTAAAAAACAGGGAGCAGAATAATGCCCATTATCACAAAAGACAAATGCAAAGTGAAAAGAGGCTGTAAATTTGTTAATGTTTAATATGCACTCAATGATACATAATAGTTTTATTCTGTCTCATTTTGTGTGTATGGATTTCAGTTTAAGGGAAAACGGGACATTATCTAATCTGATATGATATTTTGAAATTCCAGATATAAAGGAACAGCACAATTTTTTGAATTTCCTATTTAAATATACATTTAGACATGCGCATAATTTCATAGGTCTTAGCTAAACTTTGCTTTATTCTACTCAAGTGGCATACACTATATATGTTTAAGAATAGCAATGTGAATATAGGGTTACTGTTTTCATGTTCTATGGGTCAGCTGTTTTGTCCATAACTTATATCAATTATGTTTCAAGAATCAAATAGAATGATCCGGGGAATTCTTATTAATCAGTAAAATGGTTGTAGCCCCCAAAATAGGATACCTTAGTATATTGGTGAATATGTGTTTTCCTCATCTTATCGTGTTCCCTCAGGAAGATATAAGACTAAGAGATAACAAATGACGGAAAAAATTAAGTGCATCTGTTGTACAAATTATGCTGTAATAGCGGACTTCAATTAGAAAAAATTGGCAATCGTAATTAATGCATGTCCTAATAAAGGACTTAACGTGAGCCCACAAATTAAACAAGACATGACCTCTTTTGCTTTACAAGACAGTAAAGAACAGAATAAAAATAGTCAAAGAAATAATCATTTTTCATATAATTATATATTATATAATATGCCCATAAATATATCGATACCATGGATTAGTTAGATGAGACCATAACAATAACTTATAACCTGTCTCAATTTAAAGATTCCATTTTTCTCATAAGCGTTAGAACCCCTACGACCCTGTACTCTTATATCTTTTTTCCATAGACATGTGCGTAAAGCAATTCTGAGTTACCTTCCTTTACAAATTCTATTCTGAATCAACACAGAGGGGTTACACATCTTTCCCCAGGATTACAAACTGCAGTAATGTTTTATTTTAGCTTTCGTGCATTGTACATACGAAAAAGCATAGGACAATTAAAGAGCGTATGAGTTAAAGATGTAAATTAGATATGAACAATGTTTTCTCTAAATGTACTTGTAAGGGGATTTTTCTTTCTTTACTTTTTGAACGGCCTAATTTATTATTGTTCTGGTTAAATGTTATACTCCTCTTAAGCAACCATACCTGTGTTAATTTTTGGATATTCAGAATAGTATACATTGGTGTATATTACATTTTCATAATTATGAAGAGGGCACCTTGATAAATAAAAAAGGGGAAGAAGATTCCAATATAGGAATGATTCCTGTTATTTATGGAATTTCTCATATATCCCCACCTTTATACTACTTCTACGTTTTAAACTTGTACTGAGGCATTTTCATATAATGCACTTATTATGTATGGAAACGAACGGGGGGAAAAGGAAAGAAAAGAAAGGAAACATAAAGGCTATGAGTTGATCCAATATTTCATAATTCACAGAATGCAATTTCCAGGACTATAAATAGGAAGTATTAGGCAAAGTAGAAATTTGCTGCTATCCTGAATTATCATGTCTTTCCGTTATACGCATTTTTTCAATTTTTCCCTTTATGAAAAAATTGCGGAAATTAGTACTGGGAGAAAAGTTGTTTTCTTTTTTGTGATATAATTTTAGCTTAAGTTTCTGGATAGTATTTTATGTATTCATTATGAAATGCTTTTTAGGTGGGATTTACAGATAATATACGTAGAACCCCTTTATTATTAAAAGGCCAAGAGAACGCAAAGTAGAACATTTAGATATTTTTTCTTTGAGCCGTCGTATTTGGTGATAATAAACATATATCCGATTAAGGATAGATAACAATTTCCATGATTATAGGCTAGGGAAGAATATAATAGCATGTATGTACTTTAGTTTTTCTTTTAATAATATAAAGATACTGCCCGCTTATAGATTTCAGTTTAGGAATTGAGAGTAATCGTTTTAAGATGTATGAATAATAAAGAAGCAGGGGATGGATACACCTATATAATATGTAAGAATAATAATAAAATATTCCAGAATTTACATAAATACGCGAGGATTTATTCCTATTTTAATTTCTCGTATAATTAGAGCATTAATTGCTTATGATTAGAATGATTTTATTAAGATTGCGACAGAAAATATTATACGGGTACGTCGCATTAGTATAAATAAAGGAAAATATTTTACATGTCCAGTATGAGGAGGCCTCAACCCCGTAATTCTCATAATCATGTACTCGTTAATATTATACGTTCAGATTAATCAAAGTTTTATATGTATCTTAATCTTTAAATCGGGGCCCGAATTTTTTTTACATTGTCAGAATACCCTATTTTTATTTTTTTGTTATTTTTTAGATAGGGTATACACTGCGAGCAATTCTTCGACATCCCATTCTTACGAAAAGATGTGATTTTTTTCCATATTCCGAGCCTCTAAGAATTTGTGGTGAAGATGTTATTGTGGTTCTTTTTGAGGATTTTATATTTTAATATAGATTTGAAGGAAATTTTAATTCAGTAATAATTTTTTCTTTTTTCTTGATATTTTTTCCTTATTTTTTTTTAAATTTTATTGGAAATAATAAGAAATATAGATTTATTTTAATTTATGCTGTTTAAGTTTTAAAAGAAAGAATATTATAATAAGTTTAAAGAAGCATTAGGAAACCCCTGGGGCGGGGTCTCATCTATCTTAATAAGATATAAGGAAGAATATTTGTCCTTCTGTATAGAATACATCTAAGCTAATAATTAATGAGAGGAATATTGTGGTCCCCTATAGTTAGGATCCTTACATTGTGCGCCTTAGTATGGATATCTCTGACTTCTTATGAGGTACAGTATTGAATTATCGACAAATACTTTAGATAAATTTCTGGTGCAGTCAGTAAGCCTATTTTAAGGCTATGTTCGATTTTATTAATATAATTTTAAGAACATAGAATAAATTTCATTCAATAATTTTCCTTAAACTTTTGTCTATATCTTCCATACAGTGGCGTAATTTGAAAGAAAGAAAAAATGGAAGGAGATACATTAGTAGTAGATGCCTTGTGGGGCATACTACCTTACTGAATGCCCAAGAACAAAATTGTAACAGTAAGAGACATAGAAGAGTAAGACAAGAAGACCATGATTCGCCACATCCTGAGGAAAATTATAATATAGCCTCCGCGGATAGCATAAACCATAAGCCTGTTCCTAACCAAAAAGTGGGAAGTCCAAGAATCTGTGGCCCAAATGGGATCTCGCCGTCCCACCTCCGGAAAGCACCCGACTCTGACAGATGGAGGAACAGGTTAAAGAGTGGGAGGATGGACACCAAGGCAGGCAACCTCTATGGGGCAGATGACTTTGATAATTTCCTTAAAGAACCAGAAGATGATTACTACCGAGGAGGACAGAAATTTAGATGTCCGAGTGAGGATACGAGGAATCACACCAGAATGGATAAGGGACTTCTGCCAGTACAGGAAGGCCATGACCTGAAGCCGGAAGCAATAAAATCCGGAAGCAGACGAAGAAGTGAAGATATTCCTGAAGTCCTGGAGTACTACGATTCCAGCTATAGAAGCAGAAGCTTCGAGGGAAGAATTAAAGATCTAATAGACAGAGTGAATGTAAGATTCCAACTGGAGTTGATGCGTCATATAAGAGACAAAGAGTATTCTGTAGAGAGTGAATTTTTGGAAATTCGAAGTGGAGGAAGGAAGATAGCTTATTACTATAGGAAATACAGAGTATTATTGCCCCTTATAATAAGTACTGTAGCTCTCTTGATTTCCTTACTGGGTCTATATGCATCAAGTCTTGGTTCTGTATGGATAACAACCTCTATTATGATAAGTGGATTATTCCTGAGTACTTTGTACTATTATATAAAAACCTATTGTAAGATAGGGAAAATGCGAAGATGTTTCAAGAAGCATGGTGTTATAATAAATCCCTGAGAGACACATATAAGAAAAATGTATTGTACATACACTGCCTGAAGAACAAAATTTCCCAAGATTGGACTGGGGAGTTTATAACGAGGGGGGAAAGAATATATAATATTAGTAATAAAGATGTAAAAAGGATTCTTTTTCTATTTATTAGTGACAGGAATTATTCTGGTGTTCTTTTGTATTCCTTCTGGAGGGATGCCTTGGTAGAAGTAAATATTTATTTCCATTG